CTCCTCCTCCTCCTCCTCCTCCTCCTCCTCCTCCTCCTCCTTCCTCTCCTCTGTTTTAGAAAAGCAGCAAATCTCAGTTCTAGAACTTGGTATACAAGGCAAAATCTGTAGTCAGCATCGGATAGGGGTTGCCACAAAGAAGAGGGGGTCAACCTACTTTCCAAAGCACCAGTAGGCAAGTCAAGAAACAATGGATGGAAACTAAGCAAAGAGAGAAGCAACTTGGAATTAAGGAGAAACTTCCTGACAGTGAGGACAATTAACCAGTGGAACAGCTTGCCACCAGAAATCGTGGGCGCTCCATCGCTGGAGGTTTTCAAGAAGAGACTGGACGGCCATTTGTCTGAAATGTTAAGAGGGTCTCCTCCCTGAGCGGGGGGCTGGACCAGAAGGTTTCTTCCAACTCTGTTATTCTGTTCTGTTATCTTAGATTTCCAAGTTCCTCTTGTTTAGAAATGTTAGCGGTCTAATAAAGGGTCTTCCCTGCCCAATTTCCTGCTGTAGCAGAAGAACAGCAAGTGTCCAACTATTTTGGAAGTCACGATAGAAGGTCAGCTGCCGAATCTCAGTTAAAGCTGGCGTAGCATTTGCAGTCAATAGAAAGGAGCAGCCTCTGAAGCGTTCAGAAGTTCCCTCCACCCTGTTTGTGGAAAAGTTCAAAGCAGCCAGTGAAAGATGCTTGTTGTCTTACAGTCTGCACAATGACAGGTGGGGTTATCTTGTGTTAGAGGGCTTTGCAAGTGGATTCTTCCACCCTTCAGCTAGCAGGTCATCTCAGCCATCAGAATCCGTTTTTGCACAATACTTCGCCTAATTGGCTTTTGTGTCTTGGTTTTAGTGCATTACAAAGAGTCCTTGATTTACAGCTGTAATTCAGTCTGGAACTTGTTGTAAGTCGTGCTGGTCATTAAGCAGGTCATCACCACCTGACTGCACCTAATTTTATGACTTTTTTTTTGCAGCAGTTATTAAATAAATGGCCATGGTCATTAAGTGAATGCAGCAGTCATTAAGCGAACCCATTGTCTGTTGTGGGCATTTTTTTGGCAGAAATCAGAAGTAAAGCCAGTTTTACAGGGAACAAATGTCGTAAATTGCCATCAGATGACCAGGGGACACTGTAAATGGCCATAAATGGGCACCTTTTGCCGGTGCCCAAAATGTGATCACATGACTGTGGGGGAGGGGCATTGGGATTTGAAATCCAGGTCCTAAGTAGCCCAGGAGGGGTCCGTCGTAACTTTGAACAGTTGCTTCCACAAGTGGCTGTAAGTCAAGGACTACCTGTATTAGCGTTTGAGCAAGCGGCCCGGGGCTCCGTGGGTTCCTTAGCTCTGTGCCTGCCGGTGACCCCCTTGACATGGTAGGGAAGTCCCCCCGATGCCCAGCTTTCTTTGCGGGAAGAGGGGACGGAATGTGAGGACCTCAAATGCCCACTGCTGCCTACATGGTGACTGCAGCCCTGAGACCAGAAGACGCGTAGCCATCAGACGGAGAGAAGCAACCTGGAACTCAGGAGGAATTTCCTGGCAGTGAGAACAATTAATCAGCAAAACAACTTCCCTCCAGAGGTTGTGGGTGCTCCATCCCTGGAGGCTTTTAAGAAGAGATTTGCCCGGAAGGGTCTAGGGCAGACATGTCAAACTCGTCACGTCACGTGACGTCGCGCAACATAATGGAGCTTTTTCCCCATTGCCGGCAATGGGGTGGGCACGGTTTTCTGGTGATGCGTCCAGCCTGTGGGCCGCCAGTGGACACCTCTGGTCTAGGGTTTCCTGTTTGAGCAGGGGGATGGACTAGAAGACCTCCAAGGTCCCTTCCATCTCTGTTATTCCGTTAAGAACTGCAGTGTCTGGAAGCCAAGATCGCCCTACTTTGGCCATGTCATGAGAGCTGACTCACTCGAAAAGTCCATTGTGATGGGAGGAGAAGAGCCCCCCCCAATACCCTCTGGCTGGACACTATAAAGGACGGCCCCATGATGACCAGGGCAGATCTGGAGGAGGCGATGTGAGGCAGAGGGGCTCGGAGAGGGCTGATCCACAGAGTGGCCGCAGGCCGGACACGACCAAATGGCTGACAACGAACGACAGAAAGAAGGCATTCGAGATTTCTCTGGGGAGGTGGGCTTTTAGGCTTGTGGGTCTCGGAGGTCGTCACACTTTCCTCATTTGAGGTGGCTGTAAAGGGCGGAAAGGCAGAGGAACCCCCCTCATGGGGAGCCATTGGGTGACACCCCCTCTCCGCCACAGAAAAGTCCAGTGAAATAACCTGCAGCAGTTCCTGGTTTTTTTCCCTTTATTTTTTTCTAGAACATAAAGTACAAATTTCCCCAAGCCTCTTACAGAGAGAGCAAAGTTACAAGCAGCTTCAACTGGGCGGGGGAAGGGAAGGGAGGGGTCACCTGCCCCAGTCCTCCGGGGGGCTGCAGAACCGCCGGGGGGGGGGCTAGATGGGCCCGTAGAACTGCCGATAAGCTTCCTGGAAGCCGATCTGGTCGGCCAACTCGTCACAGCCGGGGCTGAGCTCGCAGACCTCCCGCTGGGCCTCGAAGGGGTTCACGGCCACTTGGGGGGCAGCCCCGGCAGCATCGTAGCCACTGCGGAGGAAGCAATAGGGGAGGGCGATTAGGGGGGGCCTTGGAGGGCTTCGCTGGGACAGGGCTTGGTCACCCTGTGGTGGAAGGCGGGGAGGTGAGCAACCGAGTGGGAGCCCCCCCAGTGGGGGACGGAGGCGAGGGGCCTATTGACGGGAGAGCCCCTTTGTGCCCCCCCCCAGCTGCTTCCTCTGCTTAGGGGGTCTGTGATATGACTCCTAAGAGCAGAGTTCCTCAAGCGTGGCAACTTTAAGAAGTGTGGACTCCAATTCCCAGAATTAAAGTTGCCAAGTTTGGGGAAGACTGCCCAAGAGCCTTCCTTGGGGCCAGCCCGGCCGTCTGCCCCACTGCCTTCCCTCTCTTCTCCAGCTCATCTCTGGCTCCAATCCTCCATCTTTCTCCCCTAATATCTTCATCACTGGAGGCTTTTAAGAAGAGACTAGACAGTCACCTGTCTGAAGTGGCATGGGGTCTCCTGCTTGAGCAGGGGGTTGGACTAGAAGATCTCCAAGGTCCCTTCCATGTTTTATGAGATGGATAGGATATATACATAGATAAGATAGATGATAA